GGGGGGGGGAGAGAGACAGAGAGAGAGAGAGAGAGAGAGAGAGAGAGAGAGAATCCCAAGCAGTCTCCATGCTGTCAGCGGAGAGCCTGATGTGGGGCTTAAACTCACGAACTGTGAGATCATGACCTGAGCCAACTGAGCCACAAGGTGCCTTGCATCTAATCTTCGCTAAAGGTATTTTTTCTAAGAAAAGTCTGTAGCATCTTTTCTTTGGATAGTGCTGTGAAACTCTGACAGTTTCCCCCCCTTATTTTCTCACCTTTATGCCTTCACCTCTCTTGTGCTATTTTATAATTAGATGAGACCACAGGGGTGATAATGTAATTGATTAGTTCCACTTTCTCTACATCACAGAACAGGAAGCATGACATAGCCAGGAGTGTCATGTCTTCCATTCCCAAAGCTGGGAATGGAAGGTTGTTTAGCATACAACAGACTCTAGGTGGCATTATTTTGTTTCCCTCTCACCAGAAACCATGTTATTCTCCCTCTGAAGGCTGTGAACATTATAACTCGATATTGTGTACTTCATGGCTTCTGCGTATTCATGTCTTCTACTACTTAATGTATCTATTCTCTCTGTCTTATCAGTTTCAGTCAAATTGGTATTTTTTTGTGTCTTGAGTTCAAATCTCACTTAGAATCTGAGTCGGTTCAGCCAGTCAAGCATACCTTTAGGTTACTGGCCAGCTTATGATCTCATCACGTATATTACTCCAGTACAATGGAAACAGTTTTTTCATCTATCATGCCTTGAGGGAAATGTTCTTTGCGAATATACAATGACTTTTCTTCTAATGTTGTGTTTATGTCTCTTCTATAAGGCAGTCTAGTGTTATGGTTAACATCCAAGTTCTGGATTAAGAGTATCTGGGTTTTGCAGTGTCTGGGTGGCTCAGCTCAGGTCACGAGCTCATGGTTTGTGAGTTTGATCCCCACATCAGGTTCTGCACTGACAGTGCAGAGCCTGCTCGGGGTTCTCTTTCTCTCCCTCTCTCTCTGCCCCTCCCATGCTCGCTCTCTCTCTCTCTCTCTCTCTCTCTCAAAATAAATAAATTTTAAAAACTTAAAAATTTTTTAACTAAAAAAAAGTGTCTTAGGGGCGCCTGGGTGGCGCAGTCGGTTAAGCGTCCGACTTCAGCCAGGTCACGATCTCACGGTCCGTGAGTTCGAGCCCCGCGTCAGGCTCTGGGCTGATGGCTCAGAGCCTGGAGCCTGTTTCTGATTCTGTGTCTCCCTCTTTCTTTGCCCCTCCCCCGTTCATGCTCTGTCTCTCTCTGTCCCCCAAAAAATAAATAAACGTTGAAAAAAATTTAAAAAAAAAGTGTATTATTTTAAACTCCACTTGTACCACTTACGAAGTATAACAAGCTTGGGGAAATTTACTTCACTTCCCTGGGCCTCAATTTCCTCATCTGTAAAATGAAGATGAAAATATAGCCTCTACCTCATAGAGCTGTGAGGATACAAAGTTCAGGTGGATGAGCCCTTAGCACAGGGCATGCATATAGTAAGTGCCTGGTAAGTATTAGTTATTTCTAATTGATTGAATATTTTTGCTCATTAGGAAGGAGAATGCCAGTTTTTTGCTAAGGATATCTCTAATTGTAAATTTACAAATGAGCTTTTAGATACATGCTCTGTGACAGATGAAGTAGCATGATTATTAAGGCTGTTATTTCCTGATGAAATTCATTCATCAATTTTATAAGTGTTTATAAATACAGTCATTGGGAATATAAGATTAATTAGAGTCTCTACCTATGATCTACTTGGGGAGATAGGCATCTAAATAATAATAAATCAACCTGAAAATGGTGGCACAGAGAAACAGAGAAAGTGTTCAACTTGCCCTACACAGGGGCAGAAGCAAGTCAAAGGAGATTACAGTTTGGAGGAGATACTTGATTGGCCGTAAATAAAGAACAGGGTGTGGGAAAGCATTTCTGGCAGAGGTAACAGCAGAGATGAGAGATAATATGATACTTTCAAGAACCCTGTAGGTTGTGCAATGGATCTTTAATCTTTTATCCTAAAGGCAATGTGGAGTCCTTGGGGGGGGGGGGGGTGTGCTTTTGTTTTAAAATCTACCTTTATTGTTTTCCTCTTTTGATAAAAGTCGTATGTGCACATTATGAAAAGACAAGTAACACTACAGAGGTATATGCATGGAAACTGAAGATTTCCAATAATTCCTTCCCTTGTCCCCTGAAATAATTACTACTACAAAGAGTTTGGAGTATATTCTCTATTTTTCTTTCTCTCTATGCACACAGTAACAAATATATGGTGATTATTATTATAATAGGAGAAGAATATCTTCTGTGTGCTTTTTATATATCTTTCAATGATTTAGTATTGAAGTTTTTCAGCAGGATATTAAGTTTGGAGGGAAAACTGGGGGTAGGGTTGAGGCGCCAAGACTGGAGAAAGGGAGGCAATCTCTGCCTCAATAGATAAAGTTGAGTTTCTGGACTTATAAATACTCATCAAGGCCAGCTAAGTCCCATGCTCCCTATTAAGTTTTTTTCTTTTTTTTTTTCTATGTGATTTATTTTATTTTATTTTATTTATTTATTTTTCAATATATGAAATTTATTGTCAAATTGGTTTCCATGCAACACCCAGTGCTCATCCCAAAAGGTGCCCTCCTCAATACCCATCACCCACCCTCCCCTCCCTCCCACCCCCATCAACCCTCAGTTTGTTCTCAGTTTTTAAGAGTCTCTTATGCTTTGGCTCTCTCCCACTCTAACCTCTCTTTTTTTTTTTTCCTTCCCCTCCTCCATGGGTTTCTGTTAAGTTTCTCAGGATCCACATAAGAGTGAAAATATATGGTATCTGTCTTTCTCTGTATGGCTTATTTCACTTAGCATCACACTCTCCAGTTCCATCCACGTAGCCACAAAGCGCCATATTTTAAGTTTTTTTTTTTCTAATCATCTGAGATCACAATGCTAGCTCTCCCTCCTAAAACTTGTCCACTTTCCCCTCAGATGTGTATAATTTACTATGGAATTTAGCACATTCACATTGCATTGGAATCATCTGTTTACTCGTCTTTTCTACTCAAACATGAAATTCTTAATGGCAATGCCTTTAAACAAAATCTTATATACCTAGTGCCTAGCATACAGTAAGGCTCAATGAATGTTTGATGAAGGCAAATGACGGTTTTGTTCAGCCCAATTGGCAGAAATATGTATCAGGCATTTGGATAAAAAGATTAGAAACAGTTCCCTTGTCTGTAAAATGAGACCTGTAATATATATTTTTTTCTTTACAAGAATTAGTAAAACAAGTTTAATGCAATGCAATCTTAAATTCTGTTAAGGATTAAAACGAACTATTATATTTGAAACACTTAACACAGTGACAGGTGTAGTAGTTACAGGTTATTGTCATGAAGATGAGCCAAATACAGGAAAAGCCATAAAGGCAGGGGGAAATTTCAGGTGTTATTGGGCACCTTCAGAGTTTGACAGAAAATGTCATAATGTATCTTGGGGATAATCTAGGAAAGCCTTCAGGGACAAGGACTTAGAAATCTCCTACAGCCTTAGAAATCCAGAAGTCCTGGAGTAGGATCAAAAGTTCAAATAACAACAGAGGTCAGTCAGGAAGCTAGTGAAAAAAAAAAATTGGGAACCCTGGCTACACATTAGAATCACCTGGGAAACTGATGGCAAAGCAATGGGCCAGCTCCTATCCTGAAGTAATCAGAATTTCCAGGAGTAGGTCCCCAACACGAGTATGTCTTTAAGTTTCTTCAGGTGAGTCTAATGTGCAGCCAGGGGTGACATCCACTGCAATTCTAAAACCAATGAGGGCAAGATAGGTGAACAGGTGTGTCTTTTCTCCTGCTGATTGTTGCAATACTGTTTGCCAGCTTCTTTGTAAAAGTGCAGATTTCCATGTGAAGTTACCCAAATTTAAAAATGTTGGCAAGTAATTTATAATGTTAAAACAAAGAAGAAAAACAACGAAACACCGCGGGAATCAAAGAAAACATGGATAGTGGCCCAGTTGGCCACCAGTTCATAACCTCCCTTGCAGTTCAACCTTCGGGTAGAAGAAACAAACTGATACTGAAAGTGGTTATTTAACACTTTGCCCAAGACTGCACAGCAAATCAGAATGGGAGTCGGGACTAAAACATAGTCCTTTAGAATTTAGTTAATATTCCTTCTTTTTCAGGAGAGGAACACTTGGAGGTGCACAATAAAACATGGGTAAGGATAAAGTGCGTTCCAGGCTGAAGGAAGCCCCAAAGCACTGCCTCGGGCATCACATAATCAGCAAACCCCGGCGATTCCTAAAACTTAGGAAAGTAAAATCAGGACTCCGGGCGGGGGGGGGGGGGGGGCCGGGCAAGAACCAGACACGCATGCGCCGTCCACAGGTAGCGCCGCGGAGGGGCGTCTTGTCTGGACAGGCGATGAATTACGACCTCTGCTGGCGGCGTCACGACTTCTGCCGTAAATGCGGTGTTTGGCGCGTGCGCGTCTTTCCTTTTCGGAGTCCCTAAGCTGCCGCTGGCGTTGAAGTGTTCTCAGTTCGCCGCTCCGGCTGTCGCCATGGTGAAGCTGAGCAAAGAGGCCAAGCAGAGGCTGCAGCAGCTCTTTAAGGGCGGCCAGTTTGCCATCCGCTGGGGCTTTATTCCTCTCGTGATTTACCTGGGTCAGTAGGAGGAGAACCTGGAAGGAGACGGGAGGGAAGGGTATGCGGAGGCCTTGCCTCCATTTTTGGCTTTGTAGGGCGGGAGACAAATCGGACCACGCCGTGCACGTCCTTTGATGTTGTCTAGTCAGTGGGGTCGGTCTAAGCTGAGTTCAAGTTCTTGTCTGCCCTTTACTGTTTGGAGGTGACCTACCTTTGAGGATTGTTGGGAGAGTTAGGCGACCTGATAGATTTGAAAGCGATCACTCATTATGTCATTAGGTGGGTTTTCCCGGCATTTGTCCTCACTTCTACAGGTGGTCCTAAATAGAAAGAGGCCTGTAGACCTCGTGGATATGCCCCGTCTTGAAGCATGATTATGACAATAGTTTTTGCTTTCTTAGTTGCACAGTGAAGAGTTTGGATGATTTTTGTTAGGATCGCATTTTATAGGTGAGGGAATGGAATCAGAAATTTCTTTCGGAAGGACACACAGCTGTTAAGTGGGGAACTATGAACTCAAGTAATGGGGTATCAAGGCCCGTACTTTTTTTTTTTTTTTTAATGTTTACTTATTTTTGAGAGAGAGTGCGATTGGAAGAGGAACAGAGAGGGGGAGACACAGAATCAGAAGCAGGCTCCAGGCCCCGAGTACAGAGCCTACTGGGAGGCTGGAACCCATAGACCAACTGGGAGATCATGACCTGAGCTGAAGTCTGAGGTTTAACTGGCTAAGCCACCTAAACACCCCTTCAAGGCCCATACTCTTAATCACTGTGCTGTACTGCAAGCATTTAAGTACTTAGACAAATATTGACACCTAGGGCTGTACATTGGGACTTTATCCTATTTCTAGTCTTGGATAGTTTTTTGTTTTTCTGGGCTTTTTTTGTTGTTGTTGTTGTTTTGAAGTATAGGTGATACACAATGTTATATTACTTTCAGGTGTACAATGTGGTGGAAAGGAAAGGTTCCAGCTCTATCAGTTGAGTATACAGTTTGATATTTTCTAAAACTCAGTTTCACACTTTTAAAACCCTGTGATTTTAACAAGGTGCTGCTTCCTGTTTGTTTTAGATGTCCTGCATTGTTCAAGATAAAGTACATTCATTCTTAGTCTTGACAACCCTTAATTTTGCTGGATGTTTTCCAGGTAGCTGTCACTCCCATTTCCCCATGCAATGTAAACCTACCGGTAATCTGGGGATACTTTGGTAGAAAGACTTAAAAAGATCTTTTTCCTACCTATTTTGAATGTTTTTTTGTTTGTTTTTAAGCATTATTCTGGCGTTTAGCAACTTTGTATAGGTGTCAAGGATTAGAACACATAGTTGTGATAGCCTGCTCTTACAAGCTGTGTACCCCCTCTTTCTCTGCCCCCCCCCCCCCGAAGGACCCAGTTTACTTAGTCAAACACTAGGACGAGCTCTCCTTTTAGCTATGAAAGTTATGAGGACTTAGGTCCTTCCCCTTCTTTGTGCCTCCTTTTTCCATTGATGCATGTAGGGGGTCCTTTTTTTAGCTTGCACTTTGGACCCTCTGATTTCTTTGCTGCTCTATAAATCTTTACATCTATCTTTCGCTCCTCCCTTTTTTGTTTTGTGGTTCCTTTTCTATAGCTAGAAAGTTGTAGCTGGTTGCTACATTCTGTGTATCAAGGGCTTTGGTCCGAAGAGAATGTTTCCCCTACTCCCCCCCCCCCCCCCCCCCCGAGTTTATTTTTCCTATTGTGCCCACTGGAGGTATTCTCTTTCTTAGCACTACCATTATGATGATTTTTCACCCTAGCTTCCAACTCAGGTTGACAGTAATGTTAGAGCTATCTTTTTAGTAATTCTTCCTTGTTAATCATTGTCTTTTTCCTTTCACTGCGTAGAAATTTAATTTTTTCTTTTCTTTTCTTTTTATTTTTTTAAATTTATTTAATTTACATCCAAGTTAGCTTATAGTGCAACAGTGATTTCAGGAATAGATTCCTTAATGCCCCTTACCCAATTAGACCGTCTAGACCGTCCCCCCCCCACAACCCCTCCAGTAACCAGTTTGTTCTCCATATTTAAGAGTCTCTTATGTTTTGTCTCCCCCTGTTTTTATTTTTGCTTCCCTTCCCTTATGTTCATCTGTTTTGTATCTTAAAGCCCTCATAGGAGTGAAGGCATAAGATATTTGTCTTTCTCTGACTAATTTCACTTAGCATAATACCCTCTAGTTCCATCCATCTAGTTGCAAATGGCAAGATTTCATTCTTTTTGATTGCCATGTAATCAAAATATATATGTACTTTATTGTACATATATACCACATCTTTATCCATTCATCCATCGATGGACATTTGGGCTCTTTTCATATTTTGGCTGTTGGTTGACAGTGCTGCTATAGAAATTTAATATTATGTCCAACCTAGTTCCCAGTCAGTTTCTTTTCTTCTCCCCCTCAGCTCTCAGTAAAACCTAGAACTGTGGATTGAATTTAGGTTTAAACATAACTTTTAGGGCTTCAGGGAGTACATGGGAATATAGTACCATAAAATAGAACAGTGGCATGATGATAATCTGTTTGGACATTAACCAGTAGGAAGATTTTAATGAATTACCTATTGGAAGACAATTCTCCATGGTGTCTTGAATTTCTACAAATCTTGTGAGCAGGGATTCTGACCACCTTTTGTTCCATATTTTTAAGGATGTTTGTGGAGTGAACAGCCTTGGAAAATAGTATCTCCTTTTAGAGCAAAGGGGAAGCAGTGCTCACTACCCATCACAAAAGATTGTGTTTCCTTAAACTCAGGGTTCATCTAAAAATGATGATATTCTGACTAGTTATTGCTAGGAGTAATGAACTGTCCTTTGTTTTTGACTCACGATCTTGTGTCTTCTACCAGCATCTGTGAAACTGGCAGGCTAGTTTGTTGTCTTGAAAATGGGGTAAAATTTCATACCACTCATAGTTCTTGATGCTTACTTTAATTTTAATCAACAAATTAGATATATGTTATCCAGTTAATAAATATATTTTAAATGGTAAAAGGTTTATTTGATCATACTTGTAACAAGAGTGTTGACTTAATTAGATTGTTAAACAATAACTTGGTGTTTTCTCCTTTTTATTTCCAGTCTTTGCTTTATAAAAAGAGGTTTATCCAAAAGAGGATAAAATAAGATATCCTCAATTGTTTTTTTAAAAATTGAGTTTTTAAAATATTGTTTAAAAAAAATCTTTAAAAAAAAGCTGAGCCTGGGTTGCTCAGTTGGTTAAGGGTCTGACTTTGGATCAGATCATGATCTCCCAGTTTGTGGGTTCAAGCCCTGCATCAGGTTCTGTGTTGACAGCTCAGAGTCTGGAGCCTGCTTCAGATTCTGTGTCTCCCTCTCTGCCCCTCCCCCTCTGTCGCGTGCACATGCTCTCTTTCTCTTTTTCTTTCTCTCTCTCTCTCAAAAATAAACATTAAAAAATTAAAAAAAAAATTCATTTTGTTCTTTGTAGCCTTTTACCCAGTATGATGGTAGTTGTGGCACCTTTTTTAAGTAAAGACTAATAATGAAAGTGCGTTCTAAGGGTTCCGTGCTAATTGTGTATATAATAAGGATAAGGTTATTTGTCCTCCTTATTGGTTAGTCCTGGACATAATCTCATACCCTAGTTAAGACTCAAGACTTCTATAGCACACAGGTAAATTTAGATGGTGCTAGTAGATATGGATATCATTCTAGCCTACCCTAGGTTGATTTGAAAAGAAAAATTCTTGATTACAAATGTTTTGTCTGCTACGGTTTTAATTGCTATTTATTCTGTTTCTCTCTCCTCCTCCCCATTACCCTCCAGGATTCAAGAGGGGTGCAGATCCTGGAATGCCTGAACCAACTGTTTTGAGGTACTGCTCTTACAAATAAACATTGCAGGGCAAATGTTCATCTGTTAGCACTGAATCACTAGGAAGCAAGAGTTGTAGTGGTAGGCATTGTAAATGGAGCTGTACTAGTCAGTACAGTTTTGGGCTGTTGGGAAATTGCAGCAGTTTGTAGACCAGTCTAGCTTGTGTTCTCAGGTAAGTACTTTCTTTCCCCTTCCTAATTTGATTTTACTGTACTGTGTTATAATCGTAATTAAATGTATTTAAAAGAAAAAGAAGTAACGTATCATCCTACCACTTTGAAAGGTTTCATCCTACCACTTTGAAAACTTTTTAATTAGCCATATTTCTGTTTTCATTCAGCCTTTTATGTCATTTTAACAAGAATACATAGGATTTTATTTTCTTCACCTAAAATTACAATTGATGTCTCCTATTTTCAACTTGTTGATCACTTACCATTTAGGTTTTCAATTTTCAGTAGTTTATATAATAGTATAGTGAACGTTTTAAGAAAGATTTTATAGGTTTTGATTTATTTCCTTATAATAAATTCTCAAGGGAGTAAGTCTAAGTGTATGAACATTTATGGCTCTGAAAATGCATTGTCAAATTTCTATGTCAGAAAGTCTTGCCAGTAGTGGATAAGCACTTGTGAAAACTTCACATACCCACACTATACATGTTTGTGTACTCACAAACGTATGTATATGTTCACACATGAACATACATATATACATCTTCTGTATACAAGTGTGTATTTATATATAAAGGCAGAATCTGTAATAGGCAGGTTTGCTGTAAAGGACTGAAAATTTGTGGCATGATGATGACCAGGGCCTGTCCAGGTGCTGTGTGATTTCATTTTGACTTTCTGTCTTATGGATATTTCTTGTGGATTGCTCTAACAGACTTTTCACTGGCTATTCTAGGTCTTCTGTTTCTTCAAACTCCTACTCTAAGCCTTTTTTTTTTTTCCTAGAATGGTCAGAAAATAATAGTAATATCTCTAACAGTCACCTACAATGCATTAGCCACTGTTTTAGGTGGTTTATATACAGTGTCTGTAATTGTCACTTCAGTACTTGAGAGCAGGTCACAGAGTCGGTAGGTGGTGGAGTGTGTCGGTCTCCAAAGCCTACACTCTTTCCACTGGGCCATGTGGGCTCCCCCAGATAATCTTACCACTTTTCTTAGCACACTGCCATCTGATAATGAATTTCCTTCATCCCCTTTACCTTACCAGCCTCTCCTTTCTCACTGGAAGGGGTTTTTCTTATAAGTTTCCACTGTGTATGCCCTCAATTTGTCCATTTCTGCAGTTACTCTCTTCTTCCCTGATAAAGTTCTTCAATAAATGGTCTTCACTGCTGTTTTTCTTCACTTTGCTCTCCCTTTAACCATTTATGGTTTGGCTTAAAACTGGTTTCAAGTGGTCCCCACGAAGTTGCTTTTTTCTTAGCCTCTACATTTTGAACTATGAGATGGGGACTTGAGGTAATGTATCTGCTATTTACTAGCTGATTGAACTCAGACCAGTTATTTTCACAGGGAAATACTACCTTAGGAAGCATCAGAGATGGGATTGCCTACTCACGCTGTGTGAACATTTTCCAAGTACTGGAAATTATCATCAAATACCTTTTCCCAAGAGGCCATTAACTTTTCTAGGGTGATGTTTCCTCTATATAAGTTGTGTATAATATCTGCTTCATAAAGTTTTCATGACGATTGAATAAGTATATTGTATATGAAGTATGAGTACTTGTTAAGTAATATGTAAGCAATATACTGTTAATAATTTTTAATCTTTTCTGTGTCATCTTCTTTACTTCAGTTCTTTATCATGTGAGAACTTGGTCTAGCACAAGCTACTGCATGCTTCCCAGAATAAACTATATTTTTGTGCCTTTGCTCCAGTGCTTGTGCTCCCTCAGCCTAGAGTGCTCTTTCCCTTGTTTCCACTTGATGAAAACCTATGTCTAGAAAAGCCCAGTCTCAAATGTCATCACTTAAATCTTTTCCCCCTTCTCCTAGCTGAGACCTCTCCATTTTTTTGCATTCCCATAATATTCTTTTGTGTGCATGATTCTCTGCCTTATATTATGCTTGTTGCTTATTTAAAGTACGTCTTGTCCTATGAGTACCTAAGGTAGTTGTCAACGAGAGTCGAATTAATTAAATGACGCTGACCTCTTAGTGGCTTTTTGGATAAGAATTGATGTAGGATTGCTCTTGTGGTAGCACTTTTAGAATGGATCTGCAAGCTGGGATAAAGCATTTTATGTGCCCCAGGTCAGGTGATAGAGGATCCAGAGATGGGAATAGAATGTGCTCTTCTGTTGTACTTCTTTTTGGCTTCAGTTGTCCCACCAAGAGTTGACCCTTTTATTAATGTAAATGTTTTATTAATATAAAATTTGTTCATTAATGTCAAGTTTATATATAAATTTATTATATTTTAATGTTTATTTATTTTTGAGACAGAGAGAGACAGAGCATGACAGGGAAGGGGCAGAGAGAGAGGGAGACACAAAATTCAAAGCAGGCCCCAGGCTCTGAGCTGTCAACACAGAGCCCGAAATTTATTTGTTATAATGCTTATATATAGTTCATGATTTACTGGTCTGTTTCCCTTGCTAAGTTATAGGGTTCCTAGGGATTTAGTGTCCTCTTTCACCCAGATGGTGCATTATATGTGGTCAGCAAATGTTGGTTGATAGGAGTCTATATTCAAAATGCAGTACTTTAATAAACACAGAGCAGTAATGAGTAAAACACTTAGGCAAAATATATGAACACTGAGGTTTAACCAAGAGGATCATTGTTCCCATTATCTGTGTAAGGCCAAGGAAGATTTTCTTTTCTCTTTATTTTGGATACTCCTTACCATAGAGGAGGAGCCCTTAATAGTTGAATAGTTTTTTGTTTTTTCAATTTTTTTAACCTTTATTTATTTGTTTATTTATTTATTTATTTTTAATTTTTTTTCAACTTTTTAAATTTATTTTTGGGACAGAGAGAGACAGAGCATGAACGGGGGAGGGGCAGAGAGAGAGGGAGACACAGAATCGGAAATAGGCTCCAGGCTCCGAGCCATCAGCCCAGAGCCCGACGCGGGGCTCGAACTCCCGGACCGCGAGATGGTGACCTGGCTGAAGTCGGACGCTTAACCGACTGCGCCACCGACAGGCGCCCCTAACCTTTATTTATTTTTAAGGGACAGAGACGGGGCATGAACAGGAGAGGGGCAGGGATAGAGGGAGACACAGAATCTGAAACAGGCTCCAGGCTCTGAGCTGTCAGCACAGAGCCTGACGTGGGGCTCAAACCCACAAACTGGAAGATCATGGCCTGAGTCAAAGTCGGATGCTTAACAGACTGAGTCACCCAGGGCTCCCTTGAATAGTTTATTTTTATATCTTAAGTGTATGCAAAAATCCTTGGGGCTTAATGGAAAATTTTAATACACTTTTGAAAATTGGAAATAGATGCATGTTGGTTTTTTTTCCCAGGCAAAGGGAAATACTTTTTAAAAATAGAATGTTCAAGTTATCATTTTGTAATGTGATTTCATTTAATGTGACATATTACTAGAAATCACATTTTTAATCAGCAAGGCATAGAAATAAAACACCTCAACAAAAACAAAACAAAAAACACCTTTTGTCTTCCTCCAGAATCCTCTTAGGAAATAGTTTAGAAGTTTGGGCAAGTTAGTGGCTGGAATGATTGAGGTAAGAGTTAGTTGAGGCTGAAATGGAGGCTAATAATTGCCCCTGGGATTTGTGTGGTACAAAGGTTAAGAGCACCTGGGTCACATCCCACTCTGCTGCTTAAGTTAGGTAACCATCTCAAAGCCTTGGTTTCCATGTATTTAAAATAAAGGTCATAATTGGGAGTTGGAAACTTTCCACACAGTAGGGACCCGTAGAAAGCATTCAGTAAATGTTATTTTCAGCTTTACTGAGATGGTATCTAATACTGATGCCATTTTATATTGTGGGTTCATCAGTCCTTCATGTTAATGAAAATCATGAGTCATTTATCTTTTGATTGATCTCAACTTGTTTTCCTCTTTGTTTATAATAGGTAACCACACTGAAAAGTAGCAAAACTGTGTTTCTTTAAATATATGTCTCTATGTTTGATTTTTTTTTTTTTTTTTTTTTTGGCTCGGTGAGATTGATCCTTGTCTTAAAGTATCTCTGAATTTGATAGACGAGTAAACACAAACATATATGTATAAAATCTTCTAGTTCTTAAACTATGTTCAAGTTTTGTACTTTGGGGTTTAATTTATTTCTCCTCTTCACAAACATTTTAGCTTACTTTGGGGATAAAGGTCATCTGGATTTGGAAGCAATCAGTGAACAGGAACAACATGGAAGGTGTGCACTCTGGCTGGGATGAGAGATGGGACATCGTTCAGACATTCACCAGTTGAATGGCACAGGGCTCTTCTCAGATGAATCGGTGGCAGTGGAACCTCTACCGACTTATTTATCATAGACTGTATCTAAATAAATGTTTTTAACAATGTTATGTCTTGAGTCCTTATTGAATTGAATATAATGGACCACTAGGTAAAAATTTAGCCTTTTGTACTTTTTCTAAACAGTGAATCTATATATGTGTCTAGATGCTACCTTGAAAAATAAAACTTTCGGGGCACCTGGATGGTTCTGTCGGTTGAGTGTCCAACATTTGATTTTGGCTCAAGTCATGATCCCAGGGTCGTGGGATCAAGCCCTGCATCCGGTTCCCCATTCAGTGTAGAACCTGCCTGGGATTCTCTCACTCGTTTCCTCTGCCCCCTCCCTGCTTGCTCGCTCTCTTTCACTTTCTCTCTCAAACAAATAAATAGAACTTTCAAGTTCATTCCTGGCCATTCACTTAACAAGGGGATTCCACTTTCCTTTTGCATTGAATGAATAACTCCCTCTGGGATGTTCTAAGGTAGTAAAAGTAGAAACAGTTCTCAGTTTTGTGACAAAATGTCCCTATTTCCTGCACTTCATTGAGGTAAAGTTGTCATCGAAAGAAATAGGGGTTCTGTGTCTCTGTTGGTAGGGAATGCGAGTGGCTCTGGGAGTTGTGTGTCTGATATATTTGTCAGTTAAATTTTAAGTCTAAGATTTTCCCCACTGGTGTTTGGAAACTAGAACTGGCTGGGCAAGAGCCACGGATAGTTAAATAGAAGAGTAGCTTTCTACTAAAGCAGTTAATGGGGATTAGCTTTCAGTGGTTTCCTGGGACCTTTACCTGTTTTTGAATCCTATTTTTATTTAGCTGTTTCCGTAAACCTAACAAAATAGCTCTACTTTCTTTTGAGAATTATAATTAACATAGGAAAGTAGGCCTGAAACAAGATACACCATTTGGGAGGAGCCCATTGGCTTTGATGTTTTAAGCATCCAGTGTTTAAGTAGAGAATGATGATGAAATGTAATCTCAGGTGACTAGAGCTATCATTCCCAGAAAGTTCTTTCTTACTCCCGATGTAAAACCCTCTTAGCTGTTTAAGCCTATTTCCTTAAGTTTTGTTACCTTTGCCATGGAGACATAGGAGACTGTTATGGAGGCTTATTGCATAAGGAGATTTTAAAGTGGAATTTTTGAGAGCTAACTGCAAGAAAGTCATTTTTGGCAAGCATTTAATGTAATTGCGTCAACATCTCCTGAAAGCTAAGCACTTAATGCTAAAACCTCTTAGCAGTTTTTAAATCCCCTAGAATTGTTTAAGACTGTGCCCGCCAGCCTGGCTACAATTTAATGTTGTTTATGAACTTTTGTTTAGTTAGAATTGTGGTGCATGTTTACTTCCCTTTCTCAAGATTTTCAGAAACTGAGAAAGTAAAACTATGTCAGGTGTCCATTTTGATAAAATGCTAATAGGAATAGCAGTTTAGGGTTTTGTGTTCATTTAGGGTTAACTTGCAGCTGTAAAAACCCAGTAGGTTTTAAAGTAAGAAATCCAGAGTTAAGTAGGAAGGGAGTAGTTCCTTGATCTCCCATCTGGGGAAGCTAAGGAACAGAGTTTAAGCACAGGTTCAAAGCACAGGTAAGAACTAAGACTATTACATACTCGAATGTGTGTAGGTCTTAAAGTTTGTGAGATGTTTACAATTAAGCTACATTTTATTAAATTTTAATTGTTAGGGCAATGCAATCGAATTCAAGCAGTGGTCTCTTCTGTGTTAGACACTAGAGAGTCCTTACAATTAAGATGATTCCTGACCTTGATGGACTTAGGCAAAAACACTCAACTGATAGGATCTGGTTTGAGTCCTGTCCCTCTACCTAGTTCCTAGCCCTTGGTGAAGTCACTTAATCTTTAGGCTTCAGTTTCTTCCACAAAATGGAGTAATAATACTTCCCCCAAGGTGCTGTTTTCTAAATTGGCGGTTCTTGGCAAATTGGCATCACCTGGAAACTTGTTAGAAGCATATATTTTTAGGTCTGGAAATGTTGAAGCCTTGCAATCTCTGCGATTCAGTTACTTCAACCATTATTTTGAATTGTTACCTTGTTATTTTGAGATTGTCCTGGAGTTGCACGCAGTGTAAGAAGTTTACAGAAAGATCCTTGTACCCTTTACCTAGTTTTCCTCAATGGCGACATGTAAAATTATAGCGCAGTGTCAGGGTATTGCTATCGATAAGTCAATTTTTCTGTCACCCCAAGGAAGCCTCATCTTGCCCTTTTATAGCCAATCCTCCTCACCCACACCCCGTTCCCATCCCAAATCCCTGGCAGCTAGTAATCTGTTGTCCATATAACTGTTATTTCAAAAGAGGTATATAAGTGAAATCACCCAAATAACCTTTGGGATTGGCTTCTTTCACTCAGCATATTTATTTGTAGGGTCACTTAGGTTGTGTGTATCGCTTATTCCTTTTTATTGCTGAGTAGTGTACCATGGTATGGATATACATGGAGGACATCTGGTTTCTCAGTTTTTAGCTGTTACAAATAAAGCTGCTACAAACATTTGTGTACAGCTTTTTGTGTGATCAGTGTGTGTTTTAACAAGTCCTCCAGGTGACTGATGCAATTCAGGTTAGAGAATTCCTGCCCTAGACTTGCAGTAGCCTTCCTCCCTCCCCCACACATTAAAGTCTGTTTCTTACATAATGTCCAGAGTGATCCTTTTAAAAGATCACATCACACCCTCACCAGAACTTTGCAGTGGCTTCCTATCGCTGGGAGTAAAATTCTGAGTTTTTATTTTCCATGACCTTCAAGACTGTAATCCGGCCTTATGTGCCTTTGATGTCTTCATTGCCTAGGACTCTTCTCTCCACATTCACTTGCACTCTTAATGTTTTGCTCTCTCCTCTTTCTTCAGTAAGGCCGGGTACATACTTACCTTGGTGTCTGATTTGCTCTTCTCTTTGCTGGAACTCTTCTTGCAAATATCCACATACTTGGCTTCTTCTCTTTAATCTTTACCCAATATCCAGGGCCCTATACACAATAGCACATGGAGTAGTCAAATTCACATCCTAAATTATTTGAAATTATTAAGTCCGCTATGAGAAACCTTAAACATTTCTTTGTATCTCTCCTTGGATGGCTACATTTATATTGAGGTACATTTTACCTACAATAAAATGAACAGATCTTAAATACTTATTTTGATGAGTATTGTCAACTATATATACCTTGTGACTACCACACCAAGATGGGGACCAGGATCTCTTTGAACCTGGGATCCTTAGTGTATCACACACGATAGGTGCTCAACAAATGTTTTGATACAATGTGTAAAGGCTTTTTGAGACCAATGAATTGTAGGGAGGTTTGAATTAATGCTCTCTTTCCTGTAAGCAAAGATACTAAAAGGTAAATAATAATGAGAACTTTACTCAAAACTGGGATGATGAAAAAGAACGGTACTGCAGTTCTTTCCTGTTGTGTCAAGGACAGTCCAGAAAAGGAAGTAAGGAAAAGGGTATGGAAACAGGAAAAAGACATTTTTTTTTTTTTTCCGGAAGAAAACTGAGACTTGTTCCACTAAGAGGAAATAAGCTATGATATGTCAGCAGCTCCCTGGTGCTCCCTAATGCTTATTGAAAATGAGGCCAGAGACTGGAAAGAACCTTCTAGGGAGCAAAATTAGAGGCCCCAGAAAGTTTTCTAAAAAGCAGAATTGAAGGCCTCAGAAACTGCCAGGAAAGGCTGTCTCTGTGTCTCACGGAATTTCATCTTGCTGCAGACCAGTCGTCATGGCGGATTTTCCTTTCTCCCT